ATACGTAACGGCGGTACATGTATTCCGTTACTCCCCAACACTGTGTCTAGGAATATAATTATTAACTAAAAAGCCATTGGCACTCAGTTTTCTGAGCTATAAACTTTTCATCGGCCCCCTATATATTATTAATTTCAATCAGCATCTTACTTGCTGAATGCATTTTTTAAGGTTTACACTGAAACTCATATGACAGCAGCACTTATGGCGAACACAAGATTCAATTTGCAGAAAATCTCATATTGGCCTGTAGCATGTGTTCAAATGAAGGTAACTCAATAACCGTCACCAAAATCTGTTTATAAGACTGTAGATTCACAACTATAATGGTCTATTGCCATGGTCACACATCCAAAACATCAAACAAACATCTCCAGTCTAGAAAGGAGAAATAATTTAAGCCATGTATTTGTTGTAACGTCTGGTATCCTCTTGGCCAGGTCTCTCTTGGAAAAGAGATTTTAATCTCAATGAGACCTTTACCTGGATAAATAAAGGATAATGTTAGTGACATAAACCGATCATCTAAGAGCAGAACAACAGGAAAATGAGAGGCATGTGAGGAGATCAAATGGAGGTTATTCCATATGACTTAAAGGGAAACCGTGGTGGAGCTGTTCAAGTCATTTCCGCTCCACAAAATTTCTGTCTGAAACTAAACCCTTTGGCTTTGTTCTGCTCAAATTACCATTATCTACACTAAAACCACTGATGCACAGCGAAATTGATCCATTCCCCACTGTTGACCATTCAGTGCAGTGACGTTTTTCTACCTTTTGGATTCCTGTTTCTACTCCCCATCTCCATTTTATCTGTTCAGAAAATGTGACATCAAAAGTCTGCATATGCTAACTCCAAATCCACTACCTGCATTGAGACACATTTTCTTATATGTTGGTTCACTGGACTATAACACAAAAGCTCTGAATCAATAATCAATAATTATAATTCTTTGATTTTAAAATGATTTATCCTTATTAGTGACATTAGTCGGGGGGAGGGGGGGGGATTACTTGATCCCCTGCTGAACTTGTAATTTTGGTCACTTACAAAGAAATGAACAGTCTCTCATTTTTATGGTGGTTTAATTTCCAGTTTCTTCCAGTTTCCAATCTCTCCACCACCATGGGCAAGAAAAAGAGCTGACAAAGGACAAGACTGTATATTTGCACTGGGCTGAAATGGGCTACAAGACCATCAGGTAGTTTGGTAAGTAGGTGACCACTATTGCTGCAATTATTTGAAAATGGGAGAAATATAACATGACCATCAATCCCTTGGATAGCCACCGTACAGAACTTAAGTTTGCCAGTAATCATCGAAATTCAGACAAGGGTGAACAGACGAACTGTAGTCAATTGAAACCAAAATCAAGCTCTTTGGCAGTAACCCATCAACCACAATCAACCCACCACGTTTGGAGCACAGAGAAGACCATCCCCACAGT